CGCTCTCTCGCTCGCTCTCTTTCTCTACTCTTTAAAAAAAATAATTTCTTAGCCGACGCAGACGGATTTGTAAGCGCGATATCTTCAGCGAGTTCTCATCGTCATGAATGAAAAATGCTTTACAAGTTGGAAATCACAATAACAATCAACAATTAAATCTATCTCCCGATCTCTGCCGCGGCTAACAAATATCTTTCGTTTTCTTTTTTTTTTTTTGGTTTTTCTGGTAATTCGTCTGTAAATATCTCGAAGGTGTATTCATCAATTAATTAACTACCGCGTTAACTAGAACTAGTTCAATGTTTCAAAGTCGCGTCACAAAAATATTCTTCGGTCGTACTAGGAAATATTTAAACAATATTTATTCACTGCTATAGGTGATCACCCCTATCCTCTTCCCCTCTCCCTGAAAGCGATACGCTATATCGATTGCATAGACGAGCCTCCCCCATCCCTCCCATCCTCCCGGATTCCCTCGCCCTCTCGCGAAAATGCGTGTGCCGCATCACGGATACATATACGAAGTTTTTCCCTCGTTTGCTGCCCCGCAATGTTTGTTATATGTCGCGTAACATGCTGCGTCACTAATGAGATACAGGATCTATTGACTGACGTTCAAGTAACTAAGTGTGCTCGATAATACCGCGCGCAAATCCGTACATTTACTCCACTTATGTCTAGAACCAAACAACGACGAGTGAGATGAGCAGATATTAAGATCCCGGTGACTTCGAGTCTTCGAGCTCGCGATGAACTTCGTTAAATTTCGAGTGATTTTTTTTTTATCTTTTTCTCTCTTTTTCTCCTCCCTCCCTCCCCCTCTCTCTCTTTCTCCCTCGTTACGTCTTCTATTCTATTCTAATGCTTAAATAATCGTCGTCTTTAGAAAATATCTCTCGTGTGTTATAGAAAAAGTCTTATCTTTATTCGTCGACCGTTGTCTTCCTCGCGTCTCGGTGAGAGCTATACGATTTCGAGTTATTACTACTAGAGCGTTATGTTACCCAATTTGCTTTTTCTCTTTTTTTTTTTTCTTTTTTTATGTTCTCGTCCGCCTTATCGTGATATCGAGTAGTCGTAGAGCGAGGACGTGAGAGACGGAACGAATAATTAATTAATCCGGCTGCGGTGGCGCGGTAGCGGTATTCCAAGTCCGTCGTCATTCTTATAAATAAATCAACGGAGTGATAAAAACTGTCTGAAATACGATTTCGATTTTTTTGAACGATGCGCGAACGACGTCGCCGACCGCTCGCGCGGGGCGCAACACACACACACACACACACACACACACACACACACACACACACACACACACACACACACACTAAC